TTTATTTACATGCTTCAATACAGTGTACACCATTTACATTGAAGCAGTTCATGCACTTATAATAATTTCTTCAGTGGGTTTCTTCTTGTCCATTCACTTCAATCTAACTTACAATTTCATACCATGCAATAACAACATAAAAAATAAAATTTTCAATTACTATAACAACAATATATAAGTATTTAAAAAGACTAAATAATAAAGGTTGAGCATTTATTGGTATATTGGATCACAGTTGCCAGAGAATGTAGGTGAAATTCTATCCCAATTAAAGCTTAAAATAACAAACCAAAGTTTACTATTCCATTGTTCAGCAAATATTTGTCCATGGAGTATTTTACTGTTAGGACATCTTAGTACAAGTTAGTTATTTTGAACAGGTTGATAACCAATAAGACTTGTTTGATTCATTTTATATAAACTACAAACATTTGTAACTGTTTTTAGACTTTTCAGTTGAAGCATTCTATAAAACTCAATAAATAAGAGAATTAGACTCACTAACTCAAGTAAATCAAGGTATAGTGTATTCCTACATAGGTCAGCAAATATTTGTGCACTAAGCATTCTACTGTTGTGAAATATTCATGTCACAAGTGTTGAATCGTTTACTGTTGTAAACTAATAGCTCCTCCCAATCTGTTTTGACTTAATCATGACTGTATAAAAGATATTATCTTTAAAATATATTTATAATTAATTATTTAATGATGGTTAAAAAGATTATTGACAATTCCTTAAGATACAAAAATAATACAAGTGTTTTCAAGATTATGTAAAGTAATAATCTTACAAGGAATAATTTATTATAAAATATTATAACAATATATATTAGTCCAAGTAAAACCAAATTCTTTAAATACATTTACTTTTATTTTATAATATTTTATATTAGAGATTTGTTCTGGGCTACAACACAATACTTAAACAAACTATGATATATTTACTAGTCTAAAACAATTTTAAAAATCAAAGTGAAAAATTTAATACAAAAAATAGGTATTTTCTAAGATAATTAATACAACACTTTATTAGAAGTATACCAATTAACCAATTAATTTGCTTCAAAATAAAACAACAGTAAAGGGATTACAGTGTTATCTGTGGTAAGATGTTAAACTATTACTAGCACATCTAGTGGAGAATGGCTAAACTGTCGTGAGCTATCTAGGCGGTAAACAGGTGAACTGTTAAAAGCACATCTAGTGGTGAATGGCTAAACTGTCGTGAGCTATCTAGGCGGTAAACAGGTGAACTGTTAAAAGCACATCTAGTGGTGAGTGGCTAAACTGTCGTGAGCTATCTAGGCGGTAAACAGGTGAACTGTTAAAAGCACATCTAGTGGTGAATGGCTAAACTGTCGTGAGCTATCTAGGCGGTAAACAGGTGAACTGTTAAAAGCACATCTAGTGGTGAATGGCTAAACTGTCGTGAGCTATCTAGGCGGTAAACAGGTGAACTGTTAAAAGCACATCTAGTGGAGAATGGCTAAACTATTGTGAGCTATCTAGCACAGTAGCATTGACTTTATATCTACACTTTATATCTTGTGTAGATATAAAGTCAATGACAGTAGTTTAGCTCATGGTTGCGAATGCTTCTCCAGTATGAACCAATGTATGTATATGCAAAGAGTGTTTGGTTGTGAAGGATTTTCCACATGTAGTGCATTTACAAGGCCGCTCTCCAGTATGAACCATTGTATGCCTCCTCAATTCCTGATTGGATTTAAAGGATTTTTCACATGTAGTGCACTTATAAGGCCGCTCTCCAGTATGAACCATTGTATGCCTCCTCAATTCGTGATTGGTTTAGAAGGATTTTCCACATGTAGTGCACTTATAAGACCACTATCCAGTATGAACCACTGTATGCCTCCTCAATTCGTGATTGGTTTAGAAGGATTTTCCACATGTAGTGCACTTATAAGACCACTATCCAGTATGAACCACTGTATGCCTCCTCAATTCGTGATTGATTTTGAAGGGTTTTCCACATGTAGTGCACTTATAAGACCACTATCCACTATAAACCACTGTATGCCTCCTCAATTCGTGATTGGTTTTGAAGGATTTTCCACATGTAGTGCCCTTATAAGACCACTATCCAGTATGAACCACTGTATGCCTCCTCAATTCGTGATTGGTTTTGAAGGATTTTCCACATGTAGTGCACTTATAAGACCACTATCCAGTATGAACCACTGTATGCCTCCTCAATTCGTGATTGGTTTTGAAGGATTTTCCACATGTAGTGCCCTTATAAGACCACTATCCAGTATGAACCACTGTATGCCTCCTCTATTCGTGATTGGTTTTGAAGGATTTCCCACATGTAGTGCCCTTATAAGACCACTATCCAGTATGAACCACTGTATGCCTCCTCAATTCGTGATTGGTTCTGAAGGATTTTCCACATGTAGTGCCCTTATAAGACCACTATCCAGTATGAACCACTGTATGCCTCCTCAATTCGTGATTGGTTTTGAAGGATTTTCCACATGTAGTGCACTTATAAGACCACTATCCAGTATGAACCACTGAATGCCTCCTCAATTCGTGATTGGTTTTGAATAATTTTCTACATGTAGTGCCCTTATAAGACCACTATCCAGTATGAACCACTGTATGTCTCCTCAATTCGTGATTGGTTATGAAGGATTTTACATATGTAGTGCCCTTATAAGACCACTATCCAGTATGAACCTCTGTATGTCTCCTCAATTCGTGAATGGTTTTGAAGGATTTTCCACATGTAGTGCAATTAAGGCCGCTCTTCAGTATGAACCAATGTATGTCTATTCAAATGGTTTTTAGTTGTGAACGACTTTCCACATATATCACACTTAAGGCTACTCACCAATATGAACCTTTGTATGGGCCTTCATATTGCTTTTGGTTGTGAAAGATTTTCCACACATAGTGCAATTATAATGAGGTCGCTCTCCAGTATGAATCAATGCATGACTTCTCAAATAACGTTTGGCTTTGAATGATTTTCCACATTTAGTGCAATTATAAGGTCGATCTCTAGTATGAATCACAGCATGTCTTCTCAAATCGTGATTAGTTTGAAAGGATTTTCCACATGTGCTGCACTTATACGGCCGCTCTTCAGTATGAGTCATTGCATGTCTTCTCAAATAACGTTTGGCTTTGAAAGATTTTCCACATGTAGTGCAATTATAAGGTCGATCTCTAGTATGAATCACAGCATGTCTTCTCAAATCGTGATTAGTTTGAAAGGATTTTCCACATGTAGTGCACTTATACGGCCGCTCTTCAGTATGAATCAATGCATGTCTTCTCAAATCGCTTTTGGCTTTGAAGGATTTTCCACATGTAGTGCACTTAAAAGATGCTTCTACAGCATGAACCAATGTATGTTTATTCAAAAGGGTTATGGTTGTAATGGACTTTCCAAATGTATCACACTTATAAGGTCGCTCTCCAATATGAACGTTTGTATGGGAATTCATATATTTTTTGGTTGTATTTCCACACGTAGCGCACTTATAAGGCCGCTCTCCAGTATGAACCTTTGTATGGGTCATCATATTGCTTTTGGTTGTGCAAGATTTTCCACACGTAGTGCAATTATAATGAGGTCGCTCTCCAGTATGAATCAATGCATGTCTTCTCAAATAACGTTTGGCTTTGAAAGATTTTCCACATGTAGTGCAATTATAAGGTCGATCTCTAGTATGAATCACAGCATGTCTTCTCAAATCGTGATTAGTTTGAAAGGATTTTCCACATGTAGTGCACTTATACGGCCGCTCTTCAGTATGAATCAATGCATGTCTTCTCAAATCGCTTTTGGCTTTGAAGGATTTTCCACATGTAGTGCACTTAAAAGATGCTTCTCCAGCATGAACTAATGTATGTCTATTCAAAAGGGTTATGGTTGTAATGGACTTTCCAAATGTATCACACTTATAAGGTCGCTCTCCAATATGAACGTTTGTATGGGAATTCATATATTTTTTGGTTGTAAAAGATTTTCCACACGTAGCGCACTTATAAGGCCGCTCTCCAGTATGAACCATTGTATGGGTCACCATATTTCTTTTGGTTGTAAAAGATTTTCCACACGTAGTGCACTTATAAGACCGCTCTCCACTATGAACCTTTGTATGGGTCACCATATTGCTTTTGGTTGTAAAAGATTTTCCACACGTAGAGCACTTATAATAAGGTCGCTCTCCAGTATGAACCAATGTATGTCTATTCAAATGGTTTTTGGCTGTGAAGGACTTTCCACATGTATCACACTTATAAGGCCGCTCACCAATATGAACCTTTGTATGGGCCTTCATACTGCTTTTGGTCGTGCAAGATTTTCCACACGTAGTGCACTTATAAAAAGGTCGCTCTTCAGCATGAATCAATGCATGTCTTCTCAAATCACGTTTGGCTTTGAAGGATTTTCCACATGTAGTGCAATTATAAGGTCGCTCTCCAGTATGCATCAATGCATGTCTCTGCAAAATGCTTTTGGTTTTAAATGATTTTTCACATATAGTGCACTTATAAGGGCTCTCCCAAGAGTGTTTTAACAAATGACTCTTTACTTGATGTAGTTTGATAAAGGTTTTCTCACATATCAAACATTTAAAGGGGCGCTCACCAGTATGTTCTAATATATGATTCCTCATTTTCCACTGAGGTGAAACAATTATTTTACAAAATGCACACTTATACGGAAGCTTTAACATATTTACTTCCTAACTTTATAGTACTTGTCAGATGACCCAGTAAGTAAATAGATAACTTAATTTGTCAGTTATGATTTGTACGTTCATTTAAATGTAGGATTTGTTTAAAGTTTGTTATTTACATAGAGATCCCTACAATTTTAAAACATTTCTTGCTTAAATCTTGTTGTGTTGAAGATATTTTAAATCCTACAGCATAAATGTTAATTGTACAGTAATATAATAGTTTTACAAAGCAATAATTTACTTTCATCTGTTCTTTATATAGTGTTTAATAGAATACCATTTTTATCTGCTGTTCGTAGTACAATCTTATCTCAGACATTATATGAAGCTTTACTGCGAGGAACTTGAGTTTATTTTCTCTAAGTCTGGGAAAGTCTTTTGCCACTTCTGAAAAAGACCAGACTTCATTAGACATTTAATTTTTGTAAAATCTTTATTTATCATTTTATCAAGGCTTAACAATAATATTGATAGCTCATAAATATCTTATGATGAACAAAATGAGGGTTGTACACATGCCATTCCAAATATTGAGATGCTAAATAAAACTATGTCTGACGGGGATTTAATACTTTGCTTTATAATAATAGTATATGAATGTAATGGATATGATAAGCCCGAAGAACAGTCTTTTTTTAACAGAGTGGGGACTTCTTTTTTTGTACTTTGGTGGGCATCTATCACTCATCAACCTCTAATATTCATATTTGCTAATCCCCAGTGGAGTTATGTTATTATAGCAACATTTCTACCTTCTCAATGTATGTCTGATGGAGTAATTTTTTAAAGGTGAAACTATACCTATATTACTCAAAATATGGAGAAATTATGTCTTGAAAACGTTGACAAGTCTGACTCTACTTAAAGTTAACTTTAGTGAAATACAGGGTGGGGCAGCATAACTTCTTTTAATTTTATAAATGTGCGCCATTTTGTTTGTTCATGTTATAGCGAAGAGCTAGCAGTCTCCTTTGAGGGGCGAGGCTATAAAGTTTTGTCCTTGCATAGTTTAGTCGCCATTATGGGTTGGACATTGAGAAGCGTGCGTTCGCTGTTGATGCCTACTTTTTGAGTGGATGTTCAGTGATTGCAGCCCAGTGCGCCTTTCGAAATCGGTTTAATTTAGCCCCGTTGGCTCCTGTTCCGGACCTGAAATCAATTGATATTAGGTTCAATACGTTTAGACATCCTGCAAGTGCAACAAAACTAAAAACTTGAGCCCCATGGCCCATTAGATTACCTGAGAACATTGAGGCAGTGTGAGCTTCAATGTTGCGATCAAGGGGTGATTTGCAATGGCCTGATCAATCTTCTGATATGTCCTCATGCGATTTTTTCTATGGGGTTTTTGAAGTCCCGCGTTTATGTGAACCGTCCAAGGATCCTTCAAGATTTAAAAAAAAAGATCCAGCGAGAAATTTCCAAGATAATGCCTGCTATGCTTGAAAGCGTAATGACACACATCAGAAATCGGTATACTCAATGTATCTAGAATGGGAGACGTCACCTGCATGATTTTACCTTCAAAACTACGTAAAACAAAACTTTAGGAATGTACTTACATAATAAAAACCAAATAAAGTTTGTCTGACTCATACAATGCGTTTTATTAAACTTTGAAAAAGGAAGTTATGCTGCCCCACCCTGTACCAAAATGCTTAATTCATTAAACCTAAACATAGATTTTTTACAAAGTAGGTTGTTTACATATCAATAGTTATATTTAGCTTGGGTATCATACACTACCTAAACCTTTTATCTGAACTATCTTTAGTACTTTACTGCATTATATTTACCATACATACTTTTCAACACCATTTCGGGTAACGTTTGAGAGTAAGCAAATACATTTACATGTTTTTGACATTTTCCCCGTAATCTTTAATTTCACAATAATGCTTCAATATACAGTAATTGTTCCGTAAATCTACACTGGGGAAAATGTAATTTTTATATGTCCACTTACAGTTCTTTTTCACACTGAATCCATAAATGCAATCAGTTTTTATCGAGAGATTCCTAAGCGGCTGTAGAGTTAAATAAAATCAAGTTTCAGTTTCGTTGAGTAAAGTTGCATTTACAATAATTCTAGCTCGCATTCCTCCTTGAATAAGTGTCAACCACAAATTTACTCGCATGCTAGTAGTGGAGTGCAAGCATGAATGACATTTTGCGGTTCAAGTTACTTTCCAACATGTTGAGAAATGCTCGCATACGATATCTTTGTGAAGCCCAGTTTGTTAAAACGTAAGTGTGGTGGAAAAGGTGTGTTACTGTTTGTTTATAGTTTTTGTGTTTACTGTACAGTGATGGCTAAGTTTAGTGATGATGTATGTTATTTTTTTTTATTTCCACAGACCAACAAGACACTTTGAATAATTTCACAAATACACATACAAATAATACATTTTACATACTATACATACTTATACATTCCTAAGTAGATTTTTAAGTTCACTCATTATACAAACTATACATAAACATATTATACACAGCGATCATATCAGAGCATTGTGATCGCTTATTATGAATACTCAACTTTTACTTAACAACAACATCACTCACCACTGCTATTATTATTCCAGTAACAACCAACAATGTAAACGCTGCTGGAATTCGATCTGTCATTCGATACTAGAACAGTAACTCGCTCAATATCACATTCCATTAACTCTAATGCGAGCTAGAAATTCATGTAAACGCGCCTTTACTTCATCAGGTTTCACCCACTATTGCAATTTTGCAAAAACATTTTGGAGTGGCACGAGTCGATTAATTTTAACCTACACTTTACCTTCCTAATCTTATCTAACTTTAAAACACCTAATAAAGTCAGGAATCTGCATAAAACCCGGCTACCTTCCCCACATGCCTAAATAAGAGCTGATTATTATTAGTTTCAAAACCAATTGATTTAATTCTGCATCAAGTAGAGTATAAACAGCTGTTTGCTCTCCTCATTCAGTCCTCAACCCACATACAGACCGGACCCGTCTAGCCCTCGCCATAGTACCACTCAAAAACCTTAGACTCGTAATTTTAACCTTCTTTTTACAGTCACTTAGGAATCTCTCCGTCAAAAACTGATTGCATTTATGGATTCAGAGTGAAAAACTGTAAGTTGACATATAAAAATTACATCCATATGGAATAATTGTCATTTAAACTTTTAGACTGTTTTACTTTAATCTTTTTTATTTATTGCTGAAAGACTGTTGTGAAATGGATGTTGTTTGCTTACACTAGAAATGGGATTTGTACCATTTAGAGGACTATCACATACTAAGTTTTTATCAAAATAATTCAAGCCGCTATTGAGAAAATTTAATTTTTTCTGTTATTTTATGGAGTTTATAGGAAAACCACTACATAATAGGGAATAGACGCGATATTTTTATGGAGATATTTTAGAGAAAATCCATTCAGGCAGTGGCGGTCCCAGGGGGGATGGGAGGGATATAACTCGCCCCGAAATATTTTATATTTTATTAGCTAACATAAATACTATTAACTTAAGCATATTTTAGAGCTAAAATATGTATAAAAATATGTTTTTAGGCTTTAAACACCCAATTATTCTAAGAGGGGGCCCAAGACCCCTTTTTTCCTGGGAGAAATTCTATACAACCCAGTCCTCCTGGAGGTCATCCCCCCCAAAATGAAATCCTGAGACTACCACTGCAATCAGGAAAATGGAAATTTGTTAAGTCTGCAGGTTTGCTGCAGCGGGGGGATATTGTTTATTTATTGCTGAAAGACTGTTGTTTGCCAGAATGATGTTTGCCTACACTATAAATCGGATTCGTACCATTTTCTTCAGAATTCAAAGGACTATAACATAGTAAGTTTTTTTCCAAAATAATTTGGGCCGTTATTGAGAAAATTTAATTTTTCTGTTATTTTATGGGTTCTTATGGAAAAACCACCATTAAAAATGGATTAGTACCTACGTACCAAATTTCATCAAAATCGGCCCACTGGTGTGGTCTGTAACTCTGTACACATCCACACACACAGATATCACTTCAAAAAACACTTTTTTTGGATTCAGAAGACCCAAAACAGATATATTCAGTCAAAACTTAAATTTGGAAATATTGACGAAAACAATACTTTCTCTATATAGGCTACTCACTATATTTTGGTTCAGAGGGAACCAAAACAGATACATCCACTCAAAACTCAACAAAAACAATACTTTGTATTATGTATATGGAAATAAAGTAAAAACTGTAAATTAAAAATTCCATGTTATTCTTATTCAGATTATTTAACTCTTGCGGTTCGCTTGTTTTATGGATATATTTTGATCAAACTTGGCAAATGTGTCTTTTATGTACTAAGCTCAATATATTGTATTGTAGGTATTTTATAATTAATTAAAAAACACACTTTACTCCCCTGTAGCGGCAAACCTTGGTACTTGTTAAACATCATGGTATTTAAGTCTATTTAAAAAAAAAATCAGGCAAATAGGATTTCGCTTAGGCTGCAGGTTTGCTACGGTGGGAGTATTTAATGTTGCACTTGTGTGATTTTGTATCGCCTACTCTTTTTTATGTACTCTTTTGTCATATCTTGCACAAACGCCATTTTGTTTAAAATTTGTGCATAATTGGTATTTTTGTATCTAAGAGTACAGTAGAACCCCTCAAATCTAGCCTTGGTTTTACCGGTCCTCTGTTTATCCGGCCCCTTCCAGGAAGCCAATATCAAAATGTTTTTCTCTCAGCTTGCAGACGTTTAAATGCAAGCACTAGTCTTTGTGACTGCTCAAGTCATAAAATAAATTGTTCTCTTTACTTATCTGTTTGTATATACATTTATTTGCTGAGTCACTATTCTCAGTTGAGCTAGTAGGCCTAAACTCTGATCAGTTGGTTGATTATTTCTAAAGTGGGGTTAGTACAGTACAGTACATTAATTTTTGTATTTCACAAAATGGATAAGAATGTTGAGTAGAAATGCATGTACCATTTAAGTCCCAATGATCTTCAAGTACAATTTATTGTAATTTTTACCTCCATTTAATAGGTTTTGTTACCTGAAACCATAATATTTGTACATTCATTACTTAATGACTTTAACCTACAAATATTTTTTTTCTTTTTGCGAACATGTTTATTTTTATAAAAATGATCCCAGAACAGAATTAAATGATACTTTTGATTGCATATATTGATTACCTATTATTATTAGGTATGAATTGTCATTTTCATAGTAGGTTGGTTTATCCGGCCAAATCGTTATTCGGCCAGGGGCTTGGTCCCGTGGTGGCCGGATATGAGGGGTTCTACTGTATTTTAAAGAGGTTGTAATGTTTGCACAATGGTAAAATTAAAGAACATATATTTATATGTTCAATACAATATTTATTTATAAAAAGTAACTTATTTTAACAAATAGAAAGTACAAGTGGATTTGTTGAAGTTAATTCTGTGACCACTTGAACACGAATTTTATTAACTTAAAAGATCAATAAGTTTAATACAGTAAGTTTTTTACTGTAATTTTTTAAACAATATCCTAAATGGTTTTGTACAAATTGTAAATTATATTCTCTTTTTAATAAGGTTGAACAACTGTAACTTTAAACTTGGTACTCTGATATGAACAAATGTGTCAAGTCCCTTTGACATTTTAGGGCAACATACACTTATACCGTAAGGACATTCAAGGCTATCAATAATTAATACAAGTCTGCTATAATGGAAATTATAAGTAAAAGAGCATTTTGCATGTCCTACATATGAAAAGTTGCTCTCTAACATGTAACAATGTATGTTTCCTTGAATATCAAGTATAAATAATTTATTTCAATTGTTTAACCATTTGAGTGCCAACGTCCGGGGAACCGGACGTTTTTAAAACGAGCCAAAAGTGCCAACGTCCGGCCGACCGGACGATTTTAGAACGAGCCAAAAGTGCCAACGTCCGGCTGACCGGACGTTTCGTAATGATCGAACAGCTGTCATAACAACCGAATGGATACTCGGATTCTTTTAACCCATATATTAACATTGAGTCGAAAGTTACTAGATGCAATACATCGATTTTCGTTGGTCGAAATATCGAAAATTCGATTTTTACGAAATTTTAACCTAAAAATCGCCAGATCGCGCTCGGCACTTTTAGCGCGACCTTCGGGAAAAATCATCGGCATTTTTGAGCGTTACTTTTATTTCTCGCCTGGCACTCTAAGGGTTAAAATTCTTCGAATCTTATATAATTCGATAGAAGTTTTCATATGTGGTGCACTTATGAGATCGCTCTCGTGCATAAATCAAATGATGTTTCTTAATTTTCTCATTGATGGCGAATGATTTTGCGCATGTAGGTCACTTATAAGATCCTTAACTAGTATGAACCAATGTATGTCTATTACAATTGCTTTTGGTTGTGAAGGATTTTTCACATATAGTGCACTTATAAGATGCTTCGTTAGTATGAACCAATGTATGACTATTCAAATTGCCTTTGGTTTTGAAGCAATTACCACATGTATCACACTTATAAGGTCGCTCTCCAGTATGAATCAATATATGTCCCTTCAAACTGTTTTTGGTTGCGAAAGACTTTCCACAAGTAGTGCACATATAAGGCCGCTCTCCAGTATGAACCACTGTATGCCTCCTCAATTCGCAGTTGGTTTTAAAGGATTTTCCACAAGTAGTACACTTATAAGGTCGCTCTCCAGTATGAATCAATATATGTCCCTTCAAATTGTTTTTGGCTACGAAGGACTTTCCACATGTAGTGCACATATAAGGCAGCTCTCCAGTATGAACCACTGTATGCCTACTCAATTCGTGATTGGTTTTAAATGATTTTTCACATGTAGTGCATTTATAAGGTTGCTCTCCAGTATGAACCATTGTATGCCTCTTCAATTCTTGATTAATTTTAAAAGATTTTCCACATGTAGTGCACTTATAAGGCCGCTCTCCAGTATGAACCAATGCATGTCTTCTCAAATCGCTTTTGGCTGATAAGAACTTTCCACATGAATCACACTTATAAGGGCTCTCCCAAGAGTGTTTTAACAAATGACTCTTTACTTGATGTAGTTTGATAAAGGTTTTCTCACATATCAAACATTTAAAGGGGCGCTCACCCGTATGTTCCAATATATGATTCCTCATTTTCCACTGAGATGAAACAATTATTTTACAAAATGCACACTTATACGGAAGCTTTAACATATTTACTTTCTAACTTTATAGTACTTGTCAGATGACCTAGTAAGTAAATAAATAACTTAATTTGTCAGTTATGATTTGTACGTCCATTTAAATGTAGGATTTGTTTAAAGGTTATTATTTACAAAGCAATAATTTACTTTCATCTGTTCTTAATATAGTGTTTAATAGAATACCATTTTTATCTGCTGTTCGTAAACCTTATGTCAGACATTATATGAAGCTTTTCTGTGAGGAACTTGAGTTTATTTTCTCTATGTCTGGGAAAGCTAATGCCAGTTCTGAAAAAGACCAGACTTGATTAAACATATAATATTTTAACACTTTTATTTATCATTTTATGAAATTTTAACCATAATATCGATAGCTTATAAATATAGAATGATCCAAAATTGGGGTTGTACATGCCATTTAAAATATTGAAATGCTAAATAAAAGTATCTCTAATGGATATTACATACTTTGGTTTAAAATAATAGTAGTTGTGTAAGATTATAGTAGTAGTAAAAAATGGTATTAGAATGTAGTGGATATGATGAGCCTAATGAACAGTCTCAATGTAGTGGATGTCTTGGTGGGGAATTTTTTTTACAGAGAGGGGACTTCTCTTTTTGTGGTTTGGAACGTACCTATCACTCATCAACCCCTAATATTCATATTTGCTATTTCCAAGTGGTGTTATGTAGTTATAGCGACATTTCTAACTACTTAATGTATCTCTGATGGAGTAATGTTATGTTTTTGGCATCCACTTCAGAGAAAAATAGAAAACAATCAAAAAAAAATTACACATCCACTATTTCCACCACAAAGCAATATCCAGCCACTAATTTTAACTCCTACAACCATTAAAGAAGTCAAAATCCAGCAAAACACAAATGGAAGAAAATCTGTACATAGGTCCACACAACTTTCGATTAACAGAGGAGTGCCCCCGGGCTCAGTCATGGGCCCATTTTTGTTCGTTCTTTTCAACAACGATTTTTCAGATTTCATTAGGAATGAAATTTGTGAAACGGTAATGTACGCTGATGACACAACTATGCATGACTTACCACAAGAATTACACTCCAACATCTTATCCTCAAAAGACAAAGCACTGCAGTACTGCCTCCAAAATGACCTGGCCATTAATCCATCAAAAACAACCCAGTTACATTTTAGCCAAAAACATGAACAAATCCATGAAATTCCTGAAATAACTGTTGAAAAAACTCAAAACTACTTGGCCTGACAATTGATGAAGACCTCTCCTGGAACGACCACATACACAACCTGACCAAGAAACTTGCATCTGGGGTCTATGTAACAAAGAGAATGAAATGGATAGGAGGTCTGGAAACGGCTAAGACAGCATACTATGCTGTAATAGAATCACATAAGGTATGGATTAATATCTTAGGGAGGAACATCAGAGGCAAACCTCAACAGAGTCCTGGTGCTCCAGAAAAAAGCCGTCAGGGCACTCTCTGGCCTTGAGCGCTTAGACAGCTGCAGGGATGCATTTAAATCCCTTAAGCTCCTAACAGTGACAGCACTCTACATCGATGGAGTGTTCCTGTCCCACACAAAAAAACCAAACCTTCCCAGAAATGATCATCCCAGAAATGAACCTTCCCACTTATATAGGCCTCAAAATTATCAACTCTCTTCCAAACAACCTCAAGAACGCAACAGGAAACCAACTCAAACAGCAAATCTGGGCCTGGCTTGTGGACCGACCAGTGTACTCCCTTAAGGAATTTTTTGACCAATACAAAAACTTTGAACTTTCAATAAAAAAAAAAATGTAAACCGTCCCAACAATCTAAATGTTAAACATTCTGGATTTTTGTGACGCCATTGTATTTATTAACGAAATTACAAATAAAGGAAACTGTCTATTGCATTATATTTACCATACAGACTTTTTAACACCATTTCGGGTAACGTTTGGGACTAAGCAAATACATTTACATGTTTTTTTAATGTTCTCCGTAATCTTTAATTCCACAAAAATGCTTCAAAATACAGTAATTGTTCTGTATATCTACACTGGGAAAAATGTTATTTGTATACCGTATGTTTATTACAGTTTTTCCACGCTGAATCCAAGAATCCAATCAGTTTTTGTCGGAGAGATTCCTAAGTGGCTTTAGATTTAAATACTCGTAATTAATATCAAGCTTCAGTTTACATGAATTCGAGCTCGCATACGAGTACAGCTTGCATTCCTCCACGAATAAGGGTCAACCAAAAATTTACTTGCATGCTAGTAGTAAAATAGGAGCATGAATGACAAATTGTGGTTTGAGTTACTTTCCAACATGTCGGGAAATGCTCTCACGCTAACATACAATATCTTTGTGAAGCCTAAGTTTGTGAAAACATATGTGTTGTGGAAAAGAGAATGTTCTGTTTGTTTATAGTTTTTGTGTTTACTGTACAGTGATGGCTAAATTTAGTAATGATGTATGTTTTTTTTTATTTCTACTGCTGTTACAGTAACAACCAACAATATAAACGCTGCTGGAATTCAATCCGTCATTCGATTCTGCAACAGTAACTCGCTCGCTATTGCATTCCATTAACTCGAATGCGAGCTTGAATTACACGCTGAATCCAAAAATGCATTTAGTTATTATCGAGAGATTCCTAAGTGGCTGTAGAGTTAAATAAAATCAAGCTTCAGTTTCCTTGAGTAAAGTCACATTTACAATAATTCTAGCTCGCATTCCTCCTTGAATAAGTGTCAACCACAAATTTACTCGCATGCTAGTAGTGGAGTGCGAGCATGAATGACATTTTGTGGTTCGAGTTACTTTCCAACATGTCGAGAAATACTCGCACACTCGCATACAATATCTTTGTGAAGCCCAGGTTGTTAAAACGTAAGTGTGGTGGAAAAGGTATGTTACTGTTTGTTTATAGTTGTTGTGTTTACTGTACAGTGATGGCTGTAAAGTTTAGTGATGATGTATGTTATTTTTTTTTATTTCCACAGACCAACAAGACACCTTGAATAATTTCTCACACATTATACTTATACATACTATACAAACTTATACATTACTACGTAAAATTTTTAATAAGTTCACTCATTATACAAAGTATACATAAACATATTATACACAGCGACCATATCAGAGCAATGTGATCGCTTATTATGAATACTTAACTTTCACTTAACAACAACCCTTAACAACCCTCAACAACACTTAACATCACTCATGACTGGCTATTATTATTCCAATAACAACCAACAATGTAATCGCTGCTGGAATTCGATCTGTCATTCGATACTAGAATATGGGCTATTAATTAACAGCTGTGTCTAAGGAACATGTCGGCCTTAGTCACTAACAAGACTACAAGATCGCGCCACTCATCCTACACTCATCCTTCACTCATATTTGGGTTAAAATACGCACATAGTGGTGTCCCCATCTTAAATAATTGATAATTGATAATTGATAATAGTAACTTGCTCAATATCACATTCCATTATCTCTAATGCGAGCTTGAATTCTTGTAAACCCACCTTAACTTCATCGGGTTTCACCCACTATTTCAATTGTGCAATAACATTCTGGAGGTGGCAATAATGAGTCGATTAATTTTAACCTACACTTTACCTTCCCAACCTTACCTAACTTCAAAACACCTAATACAGTCACGAATCTGCATAATACCCGGCCTACCTTCCCCACATACCTAAATAAGAGCTGATTATTATTAGTTTCAAAACCAATTGATTTAATTCCGCATCAAGTAGAGTATAAACAGCTGTTTGCTCTCCTCATTCAGTCCTCAACCCATATACAGACCGGACCCGTCTAGATCTCACCATAGTACCACTCAATAACCTTAGACGTGTAATTTTAACCTTCTTTTTACAGTCACTTAGGAATCTCTCTGGCAAAAACTGATTGCATTAAAGGATTCAGAGTGAAAAACTGTAAGTTGACATATAAAAATGACATCCATACAGAATAATTGTCATTTAAACTTTTGTTAAGAAATTGTTTTACTTTTATCTTTTTTATTTATTGCTGAAAGACTGTTGTGAAATGGATGTTGTTTGCTTACACTAGAAATGGGATTTGTACCATTTAGATGACTATCACATACTAAGTTTTTATCAAAATAATTCAAGCCGCTATTGAGAAAATTTAATTTTTTCTGTTATTTTGTGGGTTTTATAGGAAAACCACTATTAAAATATCAAAATTTTGAAAAATGAAAAAAAAAACTCATGGAGATACCAAGGATTGGTACCTACATACCAAATTTCATCAACATCGGACCACAGGTGTAGCCTGTAACTCTGTACACTACCACACACACATACATCACTTAGAAAAACACTTAGACACAAAAAAAGTAAACATATAAAATTACATCTTTAGCCAGTGTACGGAATGCTTTTTAAACTTTTGTTAAGAGACTGTTTTATTTTTATTAGCGAATTTCCCAAAACGGAATAAACTATAAACGTAGTACGGTAGTACTCATGGTAAGACCGTGTAAAACTACGTTTATTCGGAGGAGTTTTCGAACCAGCATGATGGGACTATGGGAATGGGTAAATTAAATAAATTTAAAATTTTTATGAAAGGGGGGTTTATATGGGATGTTATGGGGTAAAAATTGGCTTTCTCATTTTTGACCTTATAACAAGAAAATTTTCAATTTATTTCCACACTATTTTTACAGCTTAAAAAAAATAATTTAGTATATTGAAGCGTAATTATGCGCCTAATGGTTACCGAGAACATTAAAAAAAATTGTAAATAAAAAATTTGTATGTTATTTTTATTAAACTTTTGCAACTTGCTTGTTTATGAACATATTTTGATCAATTTTGGAAAATGTATTTATTTTATACTAAACTTTAACCATTTCACACAAAAGAAACACTGTTTACCCTCCCTGTTGCAGCAAACCTAAGTAATAGTTAAACCAATGCTATTGTAATAGGGAATAGACGCGATATTTTTATGGAGATATTTTAGAGAAAATCCATTCAGGCAGTGGCGGTCCCAGGGGGGATGGGAGGGGTAACTCGCCCCGAAATATTTAATATTTTATTAGCTAAAAAAAATACTATTAGCTTAAGCATATTTTAGAGCTAAAATATGTATAAAAATACGTTTTTAGGCTTTAAATACCCAATTATTCTATGAGGGGACCCAAGACCCCTTTTTTCCTGGGGGAAATTCTATACAACCCAGTCCTCCTGGAGGTCATCCCCCCAAAATGAAATCCTGAGACTACCACTGCAATCAGGAAAATGGAAATTTGTTAAGTCTGCAGGTTTGCTGCAGCGGGGGGATATTGTTTATTTATTGCTGAAAGACTGTTGTTTGCCAGAATGATGTTTGCCTACACTATAAATGGGATTCGTACCATTTTCTTCAGAATTCAAAGGACTATAACATAGTAAGTTTTTTTCCAAAATAATTTGGGCCGTTATTGAGAAAATTGAATTTTTCTGTTATTTTATGGGTTCTTATGGAAAAACCACCATTAAAAATGGATTAGTACCTACATACCAAATTTCATCAAAATCGGCCCACTGGTGTGGTCTGTAACTCTGTACACATCCACACACACACAGATATCACTTCAAAAAACACTTTTTTGGATTCAGAAGACCCAAAACAGATATATTCAGTCAAAACTCAAATTTGGAAATATTGACAAAAACAATACTTTCTCTATATAGGCTACTCACTATATTTTGGTTCAGAGGGAACCAAAACGGATACATCCACTCAAAACTCAACAAAAACAATACTTTGTATTATGTATTTAGTAATAAAGTAAAAACTGTAAATTAAAAATTCCATGTTATTCTTATTCAGATTATTTAACTCTTGCGGTTCGCTTGTTTTATGTATATAGTTTGATCAATCTTGGCAAATGTGTCTTTTATGTACTAAGCTAAATATATTGTATTGTATTTTATAATTAATTAAAAACACACTTTACTACCCCTGTAGCGGCAAACCTTGGTACTTGTTAAACATCATGGTATTTAAGTCTATTTAAAAAAAAAATCAGGCAAATAGGAATTCGCTTAGGCTGCAGGTTTGCTACGGTGGGAATATTTAATGTTGCACTTGTGTGATTTTGTATCGCCTACTCTTTTTTATGTACTCTTTTGTCATATATTGCACAAACGCCATTTTGTTTTATAATTATTTGACAGTATTTAGTTATTTGTGTATAATTGGTATTTTTGTATCTAAGAGTAATTTAAAGAGGATGTAATGTTTGCACAATGGTAAAATTAAAGAACTTATATTTATACAAATATTTATTTATAAAAAGTGACTTATTTTAACAAATAGCAAGTACAAGTGGATTTGTTAAAGTTAATTCTGTGACCACTTTAACACAAATGTTATCAACTAAAAAAGATCAATAAGTTTAGTACAGTAAGTTTTTTACTGCAATTTTTAAAACAAAATCCTAAATGGTTTTGTACAAATTTTAAACAATATTCTCTTTTTAATAAGGTTGAACAAACTGTAACTTTGAACTTGGTACTCTGGTATGTCTAGTCCCTTTGACATTTAAGGACAACATTAACATAAAATTATACTGTAAGTACATTCAAGGCTATCAATAATTAATACAAGTCTGCTATAATGGAAATTATAATTAAAAGAGCATTTTGCATGTCCTACACATGTAAAGTTGCTCTCTACCATGTAACAATGTATGTTCCCTTGAATAAGTGTAAAGAATTAATTTCAATTGTTTAAAATTCTTCGAATCTTATATAATTCTATAGAAGTTTTCATATGTGGTCCACTTATGAGATCGCTCTCCTGCATGAATCAAATGATGTTTTTTAATTTTCTCATTGATGGCAAGTGATTTTGCGCATGTAGGTCACTTATAAGATCCTTAACTAGTATGAACCAATGTATGTCTATTCAAATTGCTTTTGGTTGTGAAGGATTTTTCACATATAGTGCACTTATAAGATGCTTCTCCAGTATGAACCAATGTATGTTTCTTTAAATTCCATTTGGTTGTAAATGATTTTTCACACGTAGTGCACTTATAAGGTCGCTCTCCTGTATGAACTACTACTATATGCCTCCTCAATTCGTGATTGGTTTTGAAGGGTTTTTCACAAATATTGCACTTATGCGATACTTCTCCTGTATGAACCAATGTATGTCTCTTCAAAATGTTTTTAGTTGTGAAGGATTTTCCACATGAAGTGCACTTATAAGGCCGCTCTTCAGTATGAACCATTGTATGCCACCTCAATTCCTGATTGGATTTAAAGGATTTTTCACATGTAGTGCATTTATAAGGCCGCTCTCCAGTATGAACCATTGTATGCCTCCTCAATTCCTGATTGGTTTTAAAGGATTTTCCACATGTATCACACTTATAAGGCCGCTCTCCAGTATGAATCAATATATGTTTCTTCAAATAGTTTTTGGTTGTGAAGGACTTTTCACATGTAGTGCACTTATACGGCCGCTCTTCAGTATGAATCAATGCATGTCTTCTCAAATCGCTTTTGGCTTTGAAGGATTTTCCACATGTAGTGCACTTAAAAGATGCTTCTCCAGCATGAACCAATGTATGTCTATTCAAAAGGGTTATGGTTGTAATGGACTTTCCAAATGTATCACACTTATAAGGTCGCTCTCCAATATGAACGTTTGTATGGGAATTCATATATTTTTTGGTTGTAAAAGATTTTCCACACGTAGCGCACTTATAAGGCCGCTCTCCAGTATGAACCATTGTATGGGTCATCATATTGCTCTTGGTTGTAAAAGATTTTCCACACGTAGTGCACTTATAAGACCGCTCTCCACTATGAACCTTTGTATGGGTCACCATATTGCTTTTGGTTGTAAAAGATTTTCCACACGTAGAGCACTTATAATAAGGTCGCTTTCCAGTATGAACCAATGTATGTCTATTCAAATGGTTTTTGGCTGTGAAGGACTTTCCACATGTATCACACTTATAAGGCCGCTCACCAATATGAACCTTTGTATGGGCCTTCATACTGCTTTTGGTTGTGCAAGATTTTCCACACGTAGTGCACTTATAAAAAGGTCGCTCTTCAGTATGAATCAATGCATGTCTTCTCAAATCACGTTTGGCTTTGAAGGATTTTCCACATGTAGTGCAATTATAAGGTCGCTCTTCAGTATGAATCAATGCATGTCTTCTCAAATCACGTTTGGCTTTGAAGGATTTTCCACATATAGTGCACTTATAAGGGCCCTCCCAAGAGTGTTTTAATAAATGACTCTTTACTTGATGTAGTTTGATAAAGGTTCTCTCACATATCAAACATTTAAAGGGGCGCTCACCCGTATGTTCCAATATATGATTCCTCATTTTCCACTGAGATGAAACAATTATTTTACAAAATGCACACTTATACGGAAGCTTTAACATATTTACTTCCTAACTTTATAGTACTTGTCAGATGACCTAGTAAGTAAATAGATAACTTAATTTGTCAGTTATGATTTGTATGTTACATAGAGATCCCAACAATATTAAAACATTTCTTGATTAAATCTTGTTGTGTTGAAGATATTTTAAATCCTACAGCATAAATGTTAATTGTACAGTAATATAATAGTTTTACAAAGCAATAATTTACTTTCATCTGTTCTTATAGTGTTTAATAGAATACCATTTTTATCTGCTGTTTGTAGTACAACCTTATGTCAGACATTATATGAAGCTTTACTGCGAGGAACTTGAGTTTATTTTCTCTAAGTCTGGGAAAGTCTTTTGCCACTTCTGAAAAAGACCAGACTTCATTAGACATTTAATTTTGTAACACTTTTATTTATCATTTCATCAAGGTTTTTACAATAATATTGATAGCTAATAAATATCTGATGAACAAAATTAGGGTTGTACATGTCATTCAAAATATTGAGATGCTAAATAAAACTATGTCTGACGGGGATTTCATACTTTGCTTTAAAATAATAGTATTAGAATTTAAGGGATATGATAAGCCCAAAGAACAGTCTCTATGTTGTGGATGTATTGGTGGGGAATTTTGTTTACAGAGAGGGGACTTCTCTTTTTGTGGTTTAGAGCGTATTTATCACTCATCAACCCCTAATATTCATATTTGCTATTTCCCAGTGGTGTTATGTAATTATAGCGACCTTTCTACCTACTTAATGTATGTCTGATGGAGTTATTTTGTAAAGGCAAAAATACCCTGTATTACTCAAGATATTGAGGAATTATGTCTCAAAAACGATGACAAGCCTGACTGTACTTAAAGTCAACTTTAATGACATACCAAAATGCTTAATTTATTAAACCTAAACCTAAAGTTATGCAATTTTAACTTGGATTTTTTACAAAGTAGGTTGTTTACATATCAGTAGTTCGTATTTAGCTTGGGTATCGTACACTACCTTAACCTTTTATCTGAACTATCTTAAATACTTTACTGCATCGAACTCTCCAAAGAAAAGTAGATAAAGGTGTACAATGCCCCTGATGCTGAAGAGGCATACTCTGGATTAAAAAGGACTGTACGGCTCATATTTGACCATGTCTGCCCTTTCAAAAAAAAAAGAGCTAAGCAGAAAGGACAGAAAATGAAGGTCCAGTATGATGAAGAAGTCTAAATACTAAAAGAAGATTTTATAGATACCTTGCATCAATACGAGCTTACTGGAAATGTAAATGATAACACTACAATGTTGGAAAAGAAGAAAAAATGTGATTTAAAGCTCAGGTCCTTCAAGCGACAAGCCACTGCAGAATATATTACAAGTGCTAATAATAAATTTAAAACTGTCTAGGAGATCATCAACACAGAAAAAATGTAAACAGAAGGAAGAACCAAATCTGCAGCTGGAAATAGAGGGGAAAATATTAGATAATTCTACTCACATTGCAGAACACCTAAACCGATTTTTTGCAGAAATAGCAGACAACACTTTAGAGAAAAGTAAAAATCATTAAAAAAAATTACACACCCACTATTTAAACCACAAAGCAATATCCAGCCACTAATTTTAACTCATACAACCATTAATGAAGTGTTAGCAACAATAGCCTCAATGAATTTAAAGCTGTCATGTGGAGTAGATGGAGTCCCATCAAAAGTTGTAAAACACTGTGCCGAATAACTGGCAGCTCCACTTGTCAGCAAAATAAACATTCATTTAATTTCATTTTAGCCTTGGACAATTTCCCTCAGCCCTACAAATAGCAAAAATATATCTAAAGCACAAAATACCCCCGCCGCAGCAAACCTGCAGACTTAGCGAATTTCCATTTGCCTGATTGGATTTGAACTAAAATGTCTCCTTAAAAATATCACATTTATTCCCTATTTAAACAAAATTAGTTTAATGAGTACTTAGGTTTGCTGCAACAGGGAGGGTAAAAAAGTTTTTTTTATGTAGAATATTAAAAGGTACTGTGGTCAACTTTTATCAAAATATGTTCATAAACAAGCAAACTACAGCAGTTGACTTATTCTCCATTAGAATAACATGGGAATTTTAAAATTACAATTTTTGGAATTTTCTCCGTAACAATTAGGCGCATAATAATGCTTCAATATACTAAATTATTTGTTTTTTTAAGCTCTACAAAATGGTTTGAAAAGAAATTGTGAAATTTTGTGTTTTTAGGGTCAAAAATGGGAAAAACCTATTTTTACCCCATAAAACACTCCATAAACCCCCGTTCCCATAGTCCGATCATGCTGGTTCGCGAACTCATTCAAGTTTATCCCACCTTACACCTTCAAACCAAATTTTATCAAAATCGGGCAAAAATTACTCAAGTTATCGTGCGGATGGACACATATATATATATATATATATATATATACTGTATATATATATATCTCTATATATAGATATATAAAAATTTGAACGAATGGTGTTTTTGGCCTCTGGGGACATCAAAATGAAAAAGTAAATCGGTCCCGGGCTTAGGTCTTACCATGAGACCTACGGTAATAGCTACTTCCCTATAGGGAAATTCGCTAAAAGGCTCACGCACTAAACAAGAAATCAACTCCCCTATCTCATTAATATCAACCTTTTCAAAATAAAAGAAAAGGTCACTCTGTCAAGAATGCTGAGTCACTTGGAAAGCAATGGTCTCATCACAAAAAACCAACATGGTTTTCTCAAAGGGAGGTACACCATCATAGCTCTAAATAGTTAAATCGAACAAATCATTTACCATTTACCATCTAGAAGCAAAAACGTTAAAAAATATTAAAACAGCAAAAACGAGCAATTAGGATCATCCTTAAGTTAGTATGACGCATCAGCAAAAGAACACTTAAAAAATCTTAATATTTTAACTGTTTACTGGCAATATATCATTGAAACTACTCTCATAACAAAGAATTGTACAACTATCAATTTTAAGTCCCCAGCTCATTTGTATGATACTAGAAAGAGAAGTGAGGTTATCCTGCCACATAGATTAAAGTTTTTTGAAAAGAAACCAACCTACATAGGATATACTTTTCTTAAATATATTCCAGAAAACATAAGAGAAAATAATTTAAACAAGTTCAGGAAATTGCTGAAAGAATATTTGATGCAACTGGCCCCTTACTCCAAAGAATAATTTTTCACTTCCCAGATATAACCTACTGTAGATATAAATATTTTTGTTATTACTTTTCATTTTTGCTTGGTAAATTGTTAATAGTAGTTTTTAGTTAGATTTAGTATTGTATTATATATGACTCTATTTACTGTACAAACTATGTACAAAAAATGAATAAAGAACTATGACTATGACTATAACTATGACTAAGCACGCAGACATGTATCAACAGTCTTACTTGACTACAGCAAAGCTTTTGACTGTCTGGGCCATAATCTCATCCTATGGAAACTCGCGGCCCTAGGAATAGAGGGAATGGCCAAAGACTGGGTAGCAAGCTATTTCAAAAGACGTACATAAATTGTCGAAATCCAGCAAAACACAAATGAAAGAAAATCTGTATATAGGTCCACACAACTTTTGTTCATCCTTTTCGCTAATGATTTTTCAGATTTCATTAGGAATTACGCCTTTACATCATTTTGTTTCACCTACTATTAATTTCAACTGTGCAAAAACATTCTGGACGTAGCATAAATTAATGAGTCGGTTTATTTTAACTTACACATTACCTTCCTAATCTTACCTAGCGTCAAATTACCTAATACAGTCACGAATCTGCATAAAACCCGACCTACCTTCCCCATGCCTAAATAAGAGCTGATTATTATTAGTTTCAAAACCAATTAATTTAATTCCGCATCAAGACGAGTATAAACATTACAGGTGGTTTTGTGCATATTATTTAAACAATATTCTCTTTTTAATATGGTTAAAAAGACCAGACTTTATTAGACATTTAATTTTTTTACACTTTTATTTATAATTTGATCAAGGTTTTTCAATAATATTGATAGCTCATAAATATCTTATAATTAACAAAATGAGGGTTGTACCATAGATAAAACATACTCCCTTAGTAGATTTCTCATCCTTATGGAACAGCTGAAGACAATTTTATTGTTAGTTCTGTACGGTTTATGTAGAGGTCGTGTTTTGTTTACAATTTGTTTCCCGTTATTACAGTCATTTAAAACCTCGTTTAACCAAATAATACGATCTAATCATAAATAATAACTTGTCCCCTAGTTATATAACCAAACAGTACAGCACAAATCAAGAAATGAACCCTAAAATAATAGAAACAAAGTTTCGTCGACACTAGCGCCTATGTGTCACGTACATGAAATAGACACGAAAAACCTGCTTCAAAATTTACAATGGGATGAGAAGTCTACTTGTGTTGGTTAGTCTATGGTTGTACACATGGCATTCAAAATATTGAGATGCTAAATATAACTATGTCTGACGGGGATTTCATAGTTTGCTTTAAAATAACTAGTTGTTACCCACGGGGTCACCCCGTTTGACTTCACAAGAATTAATATAACTATTGATTGGTTGAGTTAAGCTGAAATGAACAAAACAGAATACAGTAATGCAAACAAATAATCATACCTGATTTTTAAAAGGTAATAAATTGAAAAAATAACATACAAATACGTACAGCTGAGGTATTTTTAACATGAGGTATATGGAAATTTCCCTTTAGTAAGCAATTACGACCTTAAAGGGCAATTTATTAAATAATGAATAGTTTTGCGCAAGGTTTCTCGTCATGACGAACATTTTAAGTACCGGTACATGGTTTATGGGGGTATCACTTGTAGTTTTCTCAAAAGTTCATGGGTACTTTTGGCTTCAAAACAAATGCTTTACATAAGTTATGTAATTAATTTTAACTTTGATTTTTTACAAAGTAGGTTGTTTACATATCAATAGTTTAATTGAGCTTAGATATCTAGCATAAATGCTGGTTGTAATAAAAATTCTATTTTTATCGAGCATATTATTGACTTTCATTTTGTTCTTTATAGTGTTTATTATAATACCCTTTTCAGCTGCTGTTCAAAGTATTATATAAGAAATCATATGAACCTTTACTGTGATGACTTGAATTTATTTTCTTTATGTCAGGGTAAGACTTTTGCCACTCCTGAAAAATGCCATGTTGTATTGGTCATTTACAATTTTATAAAATATCATATTTAACAAATAATGTATCATTGAAAACTACATAAAATTTAAATTTTTTTGCCACTTGAAATTTTTTTATAAAGTTGTAAAAAACACATAAATACAGACAGACGGAAAACTAGGCACCACAGACCCATGCTCCTATGCTGAAG